CCATGCGATCATTTTCGTTATGGATGGGATAAACTCATATTCATGTATATACCATATGCTGAGAGTTTCGTACGCTATTACTAATACATAGCGACTAAAATATGGCGCTTTATAAAAGTTTTTAGGAAAGATTACGTCAGTGGTCAGTGACGAAGAAAGCGGACATTTTTTGGTATCATTTGGTCCGTCCATACGGCGTAAAAACTTTGAACATATGGTATTAGGTCTTATACGTTATTATGATGATTGCTTTTTGGCATTTTGCCAGTTGTCACTAATTGAAATCCAGCTTTTTGGTGCATGAATGCGGAATGCTTATCCAGCAGTTCTGCAAATAAGTTATTTAGTTTATGGTAGGAGCTTGAACCAAAGTGCTGTCATTATTTCATTTACTATATTTTTTTAGAATTTGTAAATTGATTGAATCAAATTGTTTCCTGATTTGCATTTAATTTATCAAATTATTTTAGTTTAATTTAGCTATTAGTTATGAAATGCATGCGGTATCACAAACTGCGAAATCATGCGGCAAACTTATACGCATTGGAAATGTCTTAATCAAAAATGTGTAGTACTCTGGGGTCTCGAACTGATGGCTTTTAGTCTCTATTTATAATTCCATTTAATGCGATTTATAGATCTTATGTCAGGGTTCTCTATATGCATCTTTCGTAGTGAACGTTTCTTGCCAGTGAGATTTTTATATGTTCAGCTTGTAAGTATGTATGTAAGTGTGCATCTTTGTTTGTATGTGTGTATATATGTATGTTTGTGGGAGTGTATGTATATATGTATGTATGTGCGCATGTTGCATCCATGTATGTTTATATGCATGTACGTAGGTATGTATATATGTTCGCATGTTTGCATCCATATTTATAAGTATGTGCGTATATATGTATTTATATGTGTATATGTGTGTTTGTATTTATGTATGTATATACATATGTATGTGTATATGTATGTATGTCTGTATGTATGTATGATTGTAGGTAAATTCGTATATACGTATGTATGTGCGTATGTTTGCATCTATGTTTGTTTGTATATATAATTGTATGTACGTATGGATGTATGTGTGTCTGTCTGTATGAATCTCTGTATGTATGTATGTGCTTATGTTTGCATCTTTGTATATATGTTTGTATGTATTCAACCACCGCTTTATTGAAGCATTAGGCAGTATTGTAGGTTGTTATGTTTGTCATTATTTTCTTCACTGTTTCTTCAGGTGTGCAACCTTATTTCGCAGTACGCTGATCGAAGTTCCGACTCGCAGGACGTGATGTGCAATGTTGTTCGGACGTTCAACGGAGGAGGGATCAATTCGACGCTCAACAGAAACTGTTTGTTCACGCATCGTACGGGGAACTCCATAGCTACTCTTGCTGCCGTCTATGACGAGGCCCAAAATCGGGTACGAATGTTTCATGTTGCGTATTTTTGATTGCTGCCAACCAAAGTTTCAGATTGGTAAAAGGATATCAGGGTATTCCTTGGTTTTCTCTGCGCTTTTTGCTTTTTTGTCGCATCTAAAAATCTCAAATCCCCTCCCTCACCCTCCGTGCGAAGTGTAAACTACCAAAACTCCATGCGTACCTGTCGCATATACAGATGCTTTTAGGGAGACGAGAAGAGTACGACGCAGACTCATGTTTAACGATCTAACAATCTTCGTTAACTCTTCCCATCCCATATCTCTTAACTTACGTTCGAACATTGATTATCTCCATTGAGTGGTAGGAAGGTGCCCTTACAGGAACTGACATTCCGCTGAGTTAGGCGATTTTGTCATTAAAAAATTGGAGACCGCATTTAGATTTTGTTTAATTGTTACTTTGTGGGTTTTTTGTCTTGATTTGGGTTTGAACTTAAGAGACTGTAGTGATTTTTAGGTTCTGTTGTTCAGTTTTGTTTTATTACAATATTTTTGCCGTTAATATGCTGCATTACTTCATAATGCAAGGTATAACATTGTATATTTACGTTTAATTCTCGAATTGCTTAATTTAGGTGAATCTCTGGGACATATCTACCGGAGAACTTGTCGTCGCTCCAGATTTCACACTAGTTTCTGAATTCGTGCCTGACCTTCTCTACTGTAAAGTCCAGGAAACTGGCTTGCTTAATGTACTTACTAAAAAGCGCCTCTGTTTGTATACTATCACTTGATATTAGATATTTAGTAAATTGTTTTTTTCGAAAATTTTCATTCTGGTTTCTTCTAAGCTCGTACTGGCTTGTTTCATATCTTAAATTTTGCAATTCTTCATTATGTTAATTTCGTTAAACATTACATATTTTTGTCATCATGGCCATCTTTAGTTCATTTGCAGTCTGTCTTCACTCAGTGCTTCTAAGTGTCGACAATGGATTCTGTAAAAGGGCCTCTCAGAAAGCTTTTTTGTTGTGAACTGAAATATGCAAGATATGATGCCGCTGACGGCCAGTGGATACTGAAGATCGATGGGAGAAACGTCCCTGTTCTCTGGGTATGGCTTCAAGGTTCAGTGAAACTCAAAGGTAAAGGTAGGATGCAGGTGGTTTTGTCGGATACCACTGGAGAAGTAAATGTCATCGTGTGTTCAAGGATGGAAAAACATATCACAGCTTTGCCATTTGATAACTGGTGCAATTTGATCGGCGAGCTGGTTCAACCGACCAAATTGGCTGACTCAGCTGTAGTGAGCGTGAAGGCAAAAAAATTGGTGAACGTCAATCTCAGTGACAATCCATTTCCAAAGAAATCCTGGGCCGCGCAGGTCTACGATTACCATCAGTGGTTGAAGCAACATGCTGCTACCGAAGACGCTCAGTGACATGGCTTAGTGATACAAACTTTCATTTGACGTTTTGCTTTGTTCTTGTTTGTTTATTTTCATTTATGCTCCTTGCTCTTGTTAAATAGTAAATTTTTGTTCAACCTGGTTTTTGAAGGATTTATAAGCCGTCTCAGTATTACTTTTGTCAGTTTTTTTATTTCCTGAGAATTTTTTTGGATCTAAGCCCCTATAGAAGTTGTCAGACATGCTAAATATTTATTTTGCACTTTTGGATTATGTATAATATACCGATGCCCAAAACCCTATAATTCACTCTATGCCCTCGCTATAAGCAGTTCAGCCCTAGGGGCTTTATTTAGGCGTTGATGATGACAGCGTCATTCCTTAAATCGAATTTTCCTCTTCATGACGACGAAAAGTCACAGACTAAAGTATAGTGCTACTCGTCAGCGCAAGTAGGTTCTCATCCGTCGTTTTACCAACACTGGTACTGTAATGTATTGTTGAAGATGCAGGGATGGCATAACTTCACAACTATTGGGGGCGAGAAGGTTTTGACGCGTTGTCAGTATCCGTGCAAATGCAACGCGCTATGAGAGATTAGCCATATTTGAGAAGAAGGATGATACATATCGATGAGAGCGAATCTGAGTTCCATCATTGTCATGCTATTGAATGCAGTGAGGCTCCTCTCTCAGGACGAATTGTATGATTTGCATTTTGCTATTCTATCCCTAGTGCAGTGACGGCTGCGGCGATGTACTCCGCCGCTAGAAGGTGTTCGCTATTTTGATAATCGCCTCAAGCTGGATTGTAGAAGAAAAGATCTTTCTCCTTTGTTACATCCTGGCTTCCAGATCGACGTTC